TTGATAATAGCAACGATAAGGATAATGGTGATGATAATATTGACAATGGTGATTATGGTGATGATAGTAATGATATTATGGTTATTATTTTTTATAATTAACAATGATGAACAGTTATGGTCATGATAACAACAACGATGATAATAGTTGTAGTAGTAGTAGTAATAATGATAATAATAATTGATAAAACAACAACAACTGACAATGAAGATAACAACAACAACAATGTACTGACAATGAAGATAACAACAACAACAATGTACTGACAATGAGGATAGCAACAACAATAACAGTAATGCACACAGAGAGAGCAAAAGTGTCCCAGGATGCTCCTAAGCCCCGTCGGCCCTCCCCAAGCCAAGGCGTTTAGGCTTCTTAAGACGGCGATACAGTCCAGCGACTCGGGTTGAAGTGTGCGCGTGAAGAAGACTTGGAGTAAATTGCCAAGTGTGTTTTGGGTCTAGTGTTCGGGGAGAGGGAGAGGGGGAAGGGAAGGAGAGGGAGGGAGGGAGGGAAGGAAGGGAGGAGCTGGGGGAGGAAAGGGAGGAAGGAAGGAGAGGGGAGGAGCTGGGAGAGGAACGGGAAGAAGGAAGGAGAGGGAGGGAGGGAAGGAAGGAAATAAGGAGATGAAGAGAGGGGAAAAGGAAGGAGATGTAGAACAGGAAAGAGAGAGAAAAGAGAGAGAAAAGAGAAAGGGAGAGACGGCCCCCGTTTCGGCCGCTTCCTCAGCCTCCCTTCCCCACCGCCGTCCGCCGGGAGAGATCGCTCGCTCGCTTTCATCCACGATTCGAGATTGGAGTCGAGTGTCGGTGAAGGATTCGGGAAGATTGGGAAACAGGAGATGCGGGAGGGTAAAAAAGGAGGAATTGGATGCAAATAAAAGAACGGAGACAGAGCGAGCATGGAGACAGAGAAAAGCAAACATGGGTGTTGAGAGAGTGAGAGTGTGAGTGAGTAAATTGGGAGAAAAGGGAATTTAGTTTTAGAGGCATGGGAAGAAAGGTGAGAGAGAGAGAGAGAGAGAGAGAGAGAGAGAGAGAGAGAGAGAGAGAGAGAGAGAGAGAGAGAGAGGAGAGAGAGGAGAGAGGAGAGAGAGGAGAGAGAGAGAGAGAGAGGAGGAGAGAGAGAGAAT